GCATCATGAAGAGGAAAAAGGGAAAGGAATATTCATGAAAAGGAATCAGGATCCGTGAAAAGGAGTACTCCTGTATTCGTAGAGTTGAACTCATCAAAAGGAAAATTTTTAGCCTGAAACCGCTAATCCCTGAACAATTCATAGTAAGTGAGCGCAAATTCACAGCTTTCTATCAATGAAAAGCTCTCATTCTATTACATGAATCCCGGTACGGCCTGCGTCCTTTTGGCGCGTTCATCGTAAAGCCAGGTGTGGTACCGCAGCATAACACCTAAGTTTGCGCCCTTTTGGGTTATGGTAGCCTTTCAGAAATGCTGAAGAAGGCTCCTCGTAAAAAAAGGGAATGGATTGATCGAGTTGAAGTGCTCGACGTGAGGTAGAGGGAAATGTGTGCAGCTGCACCAACCAGACACGCTGCTTGACGCGCACCATTAAATATACGGTATTCAACCCTAACCTCCTGAGCTTATAATCTTGTTAGTTTCTGCATCTGATAATTATCCTGGTGGTAACTGTAACTTTCGAGTCTCCGAATTTTCCATCTGTGGTGGTTCCAAACTTATTGAAGAGTTGAACTGTTGCTCATAAGAGCTTCCCTGATACGTTAGACTGCCGCTAGATGTAACGTGCCAGAGCCCCTAGTGAGTTCAATTTGAGGACTGACTTAAAGTGAAGTAGTTATTTCACTAGTTTTGAGAACTTCATGAAATTTGGTTTCATTAGGAAGAAGACATTGTACCCTCTCACATAGTGCACAGAAAACGGAGATGAAAATGGAGCGATACGGAAGACATACTCGGACAAGCCACGTCAGCATAATGAATTCATAAATTTGAAAAAAAAAACTTACAGGAGATTTATTGTCTCAATATTTACGACTGTTTATACATAAGAGTTGTGTAGTCTCACCATCGTCGATACACGTGAAAGCGAAGTTTGGGAATCCTGGTCGAGATTCGCTTTTCCCCTTCAAATATGCATTGGTGCGCAAGGGTGGAGCATGTGCAGAGGTGGTGGGGCTGTTTGACAAGGCCAAAACCCTATGAGCTCAGAAAGCAGCACCTGCGCAGGTACAAGGTCCACCACAATTCATGAAACCTTCCGTTATCTTCATTCTGATGGGAGTAAATTTTGAAAAAGGGAAGCAAACAAAAGAGCCAGATTAACAGATTAAAAATAGGAAAGCTTGCAACAAGCAATTTTCATTGCTGAGTTTTATGGCCGTCTCGGTTGACGTCATAGAACCATCAGTTGCTGTAAACACGTCCAGATACGTAATTCTTCCAGCCCTCACTTGTAAGCGACTAAAAAAGGAAGTTCTAATTGTCTTTGGGGGTATTTCTTGCTTTTTTCCCTAACTTCGATTCACTCGGTACCCAGTGCTTCATATTTTAATGAATAGTTCCCCGTTCCATCCCAGACCTTGCCTCCAAAGACTAGCAAAACATTGGCACTTCAATTCT